TGATGTAGGGCGTTAAATGCACTTTGTATGTGATTTCACGGTTTTATGGCTGGCTCCTCTTTGAAGGGAGCTAATGGGACCGAGAGCACATGGGAGACGTTTGCCCCAGGTACCCTTGACATTGGGCCAGCCTCCTTGGAGGTCATTGCAGGCAATCCGAAGGACTTGCGGCTGCAGAAAGGAAATGGAGATTGGATTCGCCCGAGCAGGTGGTAGATTATCTAACACCTTGAGGATAAATGGTACTTTTAATAATAGGTTTTTAATATTTGATTTATTGTTAAACTGTGGTACTGATATAAAATTGATTTTAAAGTCTATCAATTTAAAACTCTTGCTTAAACTCTGTATTTTAGTAAGCAAACTTTGCTTTAAATTTAATTTTCTCCTTATTTAGAATCTCTGTTTTGTTTATCAACAAAAACTCAACTCAAGAAAATGTTTAAAAATTGTTTGAATATTATTCTCTAGCAATGCAATATTCTTTTGAGTAGATTAAATTTCTTCGTTTAAAAAGTGTACACATGTTCTTTGTCAAGGCTTAACAACCTAATACAGTTTTTAAATTCATGTGAAACTCTGACCTCAGCCTAATAGTCTAAAGTAATTGGTCAGCAAATGAATATCCAAGCTGTCAACAATTACCAGCCTGCCAATGTATACGAAAATCCTGAAAGCCACACCTCTGCTGCCGCCTGGGATAAGAATATCGCATATCTTTTATGGGTCACCACATCGCAAAACACACTTTAATGTCCTGTCAGCCATATATTCAACTTTAAACATCACATAAAGCACTTTCGGCCAAACAACAAAGAGCAGTAAAAAGGGAAAATAAAATGCAGAACAAGGTCAGCTGAGGAGCTGGTGGAGCTCGAACTCGGAAACGCAGGGCCAAAATCCAAGGACCGATGGCCAATATATCACATGACGCCTACAATTTAAACTGCCAAAAAAATGAAATGCAAACTGGGCGAACGAAGAGAAATGGCAAACATTTATATAAATAACACCATCGACTCCAATTAAAGCAGTTTGCTCGATGGGTTGAGTGGCAGGGGCAGGGGCAGGATTGTTGTGGAAGGAACTTTCTGTTGTGGGAGAAGCTGCTCCGTTGTCTGTGCGTGATAAAAACCACAAAACGAATTTTTGTTTATGTGCCAGCCAAAGTGTGTGTGTGTGTGTGTAATAAAAATGCAAAACAAAAGCGTTCAAATATGTTTGTGTTCTTTTTTTTGCTGCTCCTACGAACACCCAAGGGTTGCCGGCGTGGGCGTGGCACTTGCAGCGCTAAAAGGGGCGCGGTGCGGTGGGTTGGAGGAGGCGGGGGGCAGGAACTGGGACAACCAAACCACTTCCAAATGTCATTCGCAGGCGAAGCAATGACGTACCGATGAGAAAACCCGGAATCGGGGACTGCAGGAAGACTGAATCGCACAGAGATAAAGTTATTGGAGGGGTGGTATCCGAAGTGGCGTTACACTTTAATGGGATGAAAGGATAATTTACTAAAATATGAACTACAAGGTTTCATAATATGAAGTCATAAGTGAAAAGGTTTGTAATTTTTTAAGGTAATTTTATCCAATATTTTAAGAGCTCTTTCTTTGAAACATTAACATCGAAAAATGTATTATTTGGATAACCGTTTTGTATAAATTTATAAAAAGAAATAAATGATATTTTCAACATGTTACAATTTTGATATCCATGAGCACATAATTTAAATTATGATATAAATTTTAAATTATATTCAGATCAATTTTGTAAGCCACAATTTTGAAAAGCTAAATAAATATATGTTTTGCTGTAATAAACTGAAAGTTTAACATTCTCTACAGGTACTAACTTCATCACACAAACACAAGCCTTAAATTCTTAACACTACAAGGAAGCTGACCTCTTCCGCTCGGAGCTCGAAGCTCCCCAACTTTTGATTATCTTTCCACTGCAATCACATACTCCACATACCCAACTTCCTTGCAGGGCTATATGGTATATGCAAAACGCTGAAAAGAACGAGAGCGGCCAACAAGAAATGTTGCAGCAACATTTGGCAGCAAGTGGCGGGCGAGTCGAGGAAATAATAATTTATGCATGCGTTGTGGTAGCTCGATGGCGATGTTGGCGAGGGGTTTTCTGCGGGGCATGCACCCCAGAAACCGCAAAATGTTTCGCCTTGTTGTTGCAGTTGTTGGCTGCGCGCAAAAAAGTGAATCTGAGCTGCAGGCGCTGCTGCTTTTGCTGCAACCGGAAAGCGGAAATTGTGGCCAGTTTCCCCTCGACTCAGCTCCCTCGACTTCATCCTCAATCCATTAAACCACATAGCTCCCACCGCTCTCCAGCACTCAAGGATTTATGATCGGGCCGCCGTTTAAGTCGCTCCAATCTGCCGGCACTTCCTTCATTTTAATACGCTCACTCGATGGTGGCTTTTTGTCGCATGCAAATCGCCTCCGAATAAAACCATTTGCAATTAAATGCCTTCTATTTGCAAATTTGCCAGGCATCGTTTTCCCAAAAAAAAATCGTGACCAACTGATGCTAACCTCCTTAAAATCTGAACGAATTTAAGACTTAGCTTGGATTGGTTCCACAAATAAATAATCAAAAATTAAAAATAATAACAATACTACGTTATATAAAAATAATCCTACGAACTACTTTGATTTACTTTTTAAATATCCCATGAATTTGCTTTTAATTCTTGAGTTCAGCTACAACACAATAGCGAATGATTTTCCTAATAAAGAAATCGAAATCCACAAATATTAAATAATATTTTGTGGTGCAATTTACAACCCCTTCTTGTGTTTTTTATACCATACAATACGCACTGTTTGACTGCCGGAAAAACTGTACCCCCATCATCGAAAATTTAGAGCCCGCACAAAGCAATCTGCTAAAAGAGAAAACGCTCCGGAAATTACAGAAAAAATTGGAAACGAAAATCAAACATATGAATTTAATTGCCTAAACAATTCTAATCAAGCTGTGAGGCCATCAAAGCCATCAAAAGGACACAAAAGGACGAAAATTGCTGATTGCATTTAATAAAAATATAATGTTGCCGCAATAGAATCGAACATTGAACCACGAATATCCACCACCGATCTGGCGAAAAACACAAATCGAGAACATATATGTATGGGAGGAAAAATGGCGAACGACCGGGCATCAAAATAGAATCAAATCGAGCCAGAAAATGAATGCGAAACGCAGAACTCACGACGACAATGCGAACTTAATTTCTGTCATAGAAAGCATGAAAAGGAGCAGCAGTCAGAATGGCAGGGAAATTGACATATTGACAGCCGGACAAAAAGTACACCCGAAAAGAAAAGTGGGAGGAGATTGGGAAGGCCATGCCGCACTGCAGTTTGATGGCGGCGTCAAAAATAAACAAACATTGCGACGGCAATAAAATATCAAAACAAGCCAAGAGCAGCGGGTTTGAAGGTGGAGGAGGAGAAGGTGGTGCCACTGCGGCTTAATTGAGGCAACAGAAGGCCGTAGAAAAATCCAATCAAAACGCAATGAAAACAAGGATCAAGGAGGGGACACTGCCTCACATTGTTTCGGACAGCTGTTAACCTCAACTCGGTGTGTTGATGTTATCCTGGCAAATAATCAAACTCGCACACACACACACAGAAGAACACACCAAACAAGCCAACGAGGACCTTGTCAAGTAGACATGTAAGCGATACAGATGGAGATACTAGCCTTGATACAGACCAGGACAATTGCGGCACGAATCCCGGCAGAATCCTCTCAAGGCTGCAGCCTTCCCAGTTCCACATCCACTTTCACATCCATTTGCAGTTGCATTTGCAGTTGGCTAGAGTCAGTGGAGCGTGTGGCATCCACCCCTGGTGGAAGGTACCCCTGACCTAATCCAATTTTCAGGCACAACAGATAAATCCTGTTTTTGTTTTCGCTTACCGATTCGGTGGCATTATTAAAGCCGATAAAAGAAAACAACCAGACGATAAGTATTTATTTAAATTGAATATTCCACTTAGGGCCAGAGTTTGCAAATCTAAAGTAAAGATGAGGTTACCCATTGATTTTGGTCAGGATAATGTACTTATCTAGATCAAAAAATATTTAAAACAGATATTACTCTCATTTCCAATCTAAAAGTCTACGAATATGAGTTATGTATCCGTACATCTTTTGAAATTTTAAAGTTGTTTGATTTATTCTACCGTTAAACTCAATTCAAAAGGAGGTTTTTATCTGGCGCCACACAAACCACGAAATCCCCCCCAAAGCCTTTAAGCTATTAATAAAGACATATCCCCCCTTCTCGCACCCAGGAATAATGACTTTCTCCTCTCAACTAATTTTATGGTTTGCCCATCAAGTAAATCCATGAACACCCCGAACTGAACTACACCAGGCCAATCAAACCTCATGACCTCCCACTCTCATAAAAGCCGCCAAATGTTTGGCGTATAAAAACAAATAAGACAAAGCACACATAAACCACGCCCCCGACGCCCCCAAGATGATCAACACAGGGAAATTTGTTGGCGTGTTATGTAAATTGCACACAAGAGGAAAAACAGGCCTGGATGGATACATTATGTAAATAAAAGAAATAATAAGCTCACACGGTTCCAGAAGCGAAGGGCAAGGCGAATTGCGACCGTGTATGTTTATTATTTATTTTATGATGCGTTTATGACATTTTGGGTTGGGATGCCCGCACTTTAAGGATGTGTTGCTAGAAATTGACGTCTTTGTCGCTTTGACTTTTATTTTATATTAAACATTCGGTATTTAAGATGGCACTGCCTCCTTTTTCCTTTACCAATGTGTAAAAGAAAAATGCGGAAACAATTTGTAAGGTTTTGTTTTGGGGTTTTAATTTTGGAGGTAATAAAATTAATTTTTTACTGACTCCTTAACTCTATATATGTTTAAATTTGTGACTTAAAATTTTTCAAATACCTTCACATTTATCAAGTAGGCTGCTTTTTGATCTGGTCAAACTTCATTTATAATTTATTTGTAGTTCAGTCACACTTAATTGTTTTATACAAGAAGTTTATAAAAGGCTTATTTTTCATTCAAGTAGACGCAAGCTCAAAATTATTAAACTTTAGTTAAGAGAACGTGGATTTTCCAAATTATACCAATACCTTTCTAGGAAACGCGAATATGATGCACATCCTTCGAACTTACTTCCCCAAATGGTGTCGCCCACGAGCAGATCGTCATTCGCAATTTAACATTTTGCGGCATCTGCAGACGAACAATCCAAATACCGCATTGGAGGCCACTAAGCAGAGTGAGCAAGTACTTCCAAAATGCAGATTTATGCAGTATCGCCGGGAAAATGAGCATATCAAGAGATTGGGAATGGTTTCCGAGGATGGCAGCAAGATGGTGGAGCTATCGAGTCTCACCTGTGCCGCTCCCAACATGATGGACTTCATCAACCAGAGATATTGTATGGACAGTCTGCTGGACAGTGTGCACTTTATGAATGTCGAGGAAGTGGATGATGTGAATCTCCACCTCCTGCCGCCCATCGATTCGCCGGGAAAGATCATCGGCGTCGATTGCAACTATAGGGATAGCTGTGACGAACAGCACATCTCCATTCCAAAGAAACCCAGCTTTCATGTCAAGTTCGCCACATCGATCACTGGGGCTCTGGATAACATAAAGGCTCACAGTTCGGTAAAACGCATCGATTATGGTTGCCAATTGGCCGTGGTCATGGGCAAAAAGTGCCGGGAAGTCTCCCCCAAGGAGGCACTGAATCACGTCTTCGGATTCATGGTGGTTCAGGACATTGTTGCCCGGGATTGGAATACCCTGTTTGGTGGTCACTCGATGGACACTTTCTTGCCTTTGGGTCCTACGATTGTGCATAGGTGCCATGTGCCTGACATAAACAATTTGTGGATCAAGACGATCGTCAACGGGGAGGAACGCCAGACGGGAAACACTAGAAATATGATATTCAAGGTCGACTTCCTCATCCACCGCCTGTCCCAATACCTAACTCTCTGTCCGGGCGATATTATACTCACGGGAACGCCTGCCGGAGTGGGTGCCTATCGCCAACCGTCGAGCTTTTTGAAGCCCGGCGATCTCATCGAGAGCGAAATTCAAAATTTAGGCAAACTGTGCAATAATGTCGTAAATCCTTATTCCTAACTAATGTAGTTTTCTTAAAACGTATTTCATATTAATTAAAGGAATCTCGATATCTTGAATATACTTAAAAAATTCGAGAAATATTAACATTAAATTAACATTTTTAAATATTGCTGCTAATGAAATAAGAGGACTTTCCTAAAACTGCGTGTTAAATTAGCTGGAATCAGTACAAGTCTCATGAAATCCATATGTGTCCCCGAATTTGCCACAAATTCCGGCATCCCCATCATTGGCCAATAAATTCGAGCTGATGCCAAGCCAAGCAAGAAGGCTGATAACCATGTCAAAAGGAAGCTTCTGTTGAAATCCTAATATGCAACGCGGGAGTGATGGCAGCGGGAGAAATCATTTTGTAATATAATTTGTTTGCCTCGATGGTTTGCTGGAAAAAGGGAAAGGGGCGGCCACGAAGATTGGGTGATGGCTACACTTTTATGATACGCCCAAGCATAATCAACATTATCCTCAGAGAGTCACAAGGCGCAAACAGGGCGCCTACAAAGGAGGCAAAGGGGGGAATCCCGCTGCGAAAGCCACGGCGCATTATCATCTCATTGCACAGGACTTAATCCTGCGGCAAGTTATTAAAGCGTAACGCGTTTCGCTCTTGTCCTTTTGCCAAAGTCCCTGCTCCGGCTTCGGCTCCTGCTCCTGCTCCCTCGGATCCCCGGATCCTTGGAGCCTTGAATCCAGCTCCCTTTTTATTGTTCGCGCTGCGCTTAACTTGTTTCGCATTGAAGGCAAGGACGAAGGGTAGGAATTCGGGTCGGTAGGCGACGCCGCCTTAATGCTAAATGATCCAATATCCTGTTTCCTGCATTTGTGCTCTGCAGCAGCGTTAAAAGGTCCTTTGTGGCCTCCGCTCAGCCTCCGTTCGCCATTATTTGCCTTGGCCAACTTAAAGATGTTTTCCCTCAGAGCCAACTTCTCCATCTCCATCTCCATCGCCTTCTCCCGCACAATTATTTGCTTAGCAAAAAAAAAAAAAAGGAAGATGGAATCGGCGGAAAATGTAGCGCGGGGCACATAATTTTGTATCTTTTCTTTGCGCACGGCAACTTAAATAGCAGAATGTAAAGTTTTTAATTATGCAACTCAACGCTGACGTTGTCGCATTGTGTGCAGAGTGGGCCTTCTTTCTAGTGAGCTGGCCAAAAACTTAAAATACACATAATTAGCCATAGTACTGAGGATAGTTTTATTTTATTCCCGTTTGCTTAGCGACAAAATTTCGCCCAACTCCTCTTATACTATGAAGTGTGTATCTTTGGGATATCCTTCGGACTTAGTTCACTTCCCCTCTATTTTAGAGAAAAAAACTAGGCCGTCTTCTTTCCGAAAGTTTCTATTTAGTTTGGCGTTAACAAAGGCGTTTAATTAAAGGAAAATATAAATAATTTTAAAGTAACTAAATTGCATTTAACTAGAGTAGAATGTATGTAAATCAAAACTACAAGGTTAACTCAAAATATATCCGGCAAGCCATTCCTAAGCTATCAATCGTAAAACTAATATTCTAGAACTCATAATTGCATCACTACACTACAATTTCAGAGAAAGTTAAGTAACACAAATTCGTTTTAGTTATCCGAATAATGTTGTCAAGATCAGGTACCAGTGCAGTATTTACATAAACCATTCTTTTATTAAATTTTACTTTTATATGTGCGCTTTACAGCCCTTCGTCCTTTGACCTTAGCCAGCTTTCGCTCGGTCGCCACCAATGCAGCTAAAGGAGCCCTCAAAATCAAAGGGCAAGGACATCTTTGCAAAACTCAACTGGGAACCCCACCAGAGGAGTGGGTCAAAGGACCAATTGGCGTGGGCATTATAACATATTTGTGCTCCGGGGACTTCTGTGCCTTGAGGCACGAGCAAAGCGGTTTGACTTTTGGAATTATGGAAGACGGATATAGCACTGGACTAACCATTGGTGTTATAACCGCTTTCGCTCTGATAAAACTTGTTCCCGTAATAGCCAAGTGGACTGATGGCGAGATCAAGGTGAGTAAACAAATAAAAAAACTAAAATTGTGGATTATATTGACTCCTAAAATAAAGATTTAAAAAATTTTTATACTTTCAAGATGATTGTAAAAACTTTTCTAATAATTTCCCAATATCACAGAAAATCGAATCTGGCATCAAGGGGAGTAGCATGAAAAAACTAAAGGTAATGTCTATTTCGTCTTCGAAGGAGATGCAGACTCTCACCAGGCAAAACTTGGATCGGAGTTCTCTGCGTGAAAAATCCTACTAAATGCTTTAATTTTCGTATTTAAAAAAAAACACATATAAATCTGTAAAAAAATAAATTAAAAATATCGTGTGAAAAAAATCTTCCCTTAGATCTAAATATATATCTATCCATTGACTACAAAAAAGTGTTGACCTGCTTACACAGTTTTTACGTAGTTTCTTTGTTCTTTTTTAATTTGTGAAGAGAGAACCAACTTATTGCCACCTTCCCTGCCTTGCTAAATCTACAGTAATCATTTAATGTTAAATTTGTCAAAGAATTTGGCCTTTAAGAGTCGTGGCCTAAAAATAGCACTGCCTTATGTTTTCACATAAAGCATTTGATATTCTCGAGAATGACATTGAGATTAGAAGAGGTACCTTTTATCGTCAACCGAAACCCACTTTTTAGGCGAAAGCTAGGTTCTGGATGGGGGGCAAACACATAAAATGTAACATGTCGTAATATTCACCACAAGTCCCGCCGACAAAAGAGAAGAAACAACCCGAAGTCAGAACATGCCAAAGAACATGGCATTGAAAGCTGTTGCCAAACAAAATAAGGCAACCGACCAGGAAGAGGCGGCAACAATGAACGGATGCCAAAGAGCGCAAAAAGAAAACAAATTTTCCTCTCGTTTTTCCTCTGGCACGACATAATCTTTTTAACAATTTGTATGGGGGGCTCGGGCGGTGTGGATATGACACATATACCAACCATATAGCATATCCCATATCCCCGGCAAAGTCAATGCCGAAGTATGCAGAAATTTGTTTTGTTTTTTCGGCTCCTTTTTTTTCTGCTTTGTTGTACATAATCCTTGAGAGGTGTGACATTTGTATGTATAAATTTCAACTTTGATCCGCAAAGGATAACCCTCGGGTGGCCAAAGCCAATTGCCAGGCACGAAATCTAAATAAACACACACACAGGGCACACACAAAAACGGGAAAGAAAACGAGTCTCAAAGAAAAATGTGGCCACGTTTTGTGTGCTCGAGATCTGTGGGAGAACTCCTCGAGTTTCTGAGTTCTGGCTCCTCCACACTTAGGTTGTCAAAATCAGCACAGGATTCCTACACTCCGGGTATAAATGTGGGAAAATGTTATTTTCTTTTCATTTAACTGTCATGTATTTTGCATACACAAAAGCCAGCTCCTGTCGGTGCCAAATTGAATGGCCCCGAAGAGAAAGGCTCCCTGCTTTGTTTACTTTGCACTTTCTTGCGTAGGTGTTGTGACATTTGACCGCCGCCGTCTGCGAAACATCAAAAGAAAATTGTGCTTGTTTTTATTCTCGTTTTTAGGGGAAATTAATCACACCTTTTTGGGCATTCAAATGAACAAATTGACACAATGAGAAATTGAATTTCTGACATGACCAAAGAGCTCGCTTTGACAAAGTAAAAAATAAATTGGACAAAGTGGTAGTAGTGGTCAATTGGCCATCTCGTTATGATTTTATAAAGAAATTTTATACTTTTATTGGAAATAGGTATATGGCATTGTTTTTGACAGAATAATTACACAATTTATAGATGAACAGTTCAATTTTAAGTCTTTATTCTTAAAATCATAGAATTTCGTGTTATAAGGTCGTCGAAATCCACCCTTTGTTTGCCTAAGTACTTTAATTTTCCAACTAAAGCATTTACTCACAGTGTGACTCCTGCTTATCCCATCTTGATATGAATAACTTTTAAAAGTACCTAAGTGATCTCTAATGGATTTAAGCCCACGCAGTCTCCCTCTGTGACAGCCATTAAATAAAATAAAATTCCAAAAGCAACCCAAGCCCATCGCGTGCCTTTTCCCTATAACCCGAACCCTGTGGAAAACTCTTGTAGGGAAATCCTCTAACGCCCGATAATTATGTAGAATATTTCCTGCGATAATTGCTTGATTTGCACAATGTGTGTTGATGTTTTCATAATGGATGCTTTCGGGGCATAAATTACAAGTTGCAAAGGGGAAGGACAGTTCTTTCTACGGCTGGCATGTGGTGAACAAATGTTGCATACAGCCCAGAGTCGAGTGGCAGATTGATAAGAGCTCTGTTCGTTGGGATTCAGAGTCTGCAAGGGGGAGAATTAACACATTTGCGTTCGATCGGGATAATGATGATGCTGGGGTGCTTACCATAACCCTAAGCCAGGATCAGGGTGGTTTTTCCCCTCCCCTTCCGAGTTTTTCCATAGGGTGTGCCAAACAGTGGCAGCTGCCGTTGCGCAGTTATGGAAAACCCATTTCCCTCAACGCATGCGTCAATCTAGATTTATGTTCGGATGCACTTTAATAATTTTCCAGTCGGCATTAACTGCTGTATCCTTTTGTGCCCCGCATGGACTGAAAAGTCCACTTTGTTTTCTTTTTCAAGTGCATCAAGTACGAAATGCATTGACCCTGTCAATTCTAGAGCATTTGCAATTATTCTGATAAAGGAATTTCCCAATAACAGATCGTAATCAAGCTACCTTATGAGGGTGGACTGTCCTGCAATGTCAGCTGGCCAGTTGCGCTCAATGAGCCAGCTCAATTTCGATTTGTCCAGCATTTCCTGTACATAAATTGGATCGGATCTGTCCCATAATGTGTGCCCAAAAGATTAGAGTCCTTATGGGCAGTAATAATTTGGAAAACTAATGTGATAGGCGTCTGGTTGAAACTACTATGGGAAAATTGCATAAAAAGAAACAAGTAGTTGACCCATTAAAATAAATTGCATGTGATATATTGTTAGATGTCCGACAAAACTAAATTCCCACCAAAAAAAAAACAATTTACATATTTAGTATTAATACAAAATAATCCAATTATATTTAAAATGATTTATAAATTCACAGACCTGTTGAAACTAAATACTCCACACAAAGTTTACACCCAACCAAGCCACTGCAGCCAGTTGAGTGCGTCAAAGTCCATTTAATCAGTAATTAACTTCAGTCAACAAATCAAAGTAAAGCTGAACCAGTGACTTCGATTTTAATTGCCTTAACCCTTCGTCATTCGCACCAGAAGCCCTCGCTAAACATTGTTGGCTGGATGGAAAAAAAAAATAGTGCTAAGACCTAAGCTTACTTAATGTGACCACTTTGAGCGGCGACGAGTTGCCTACTTAGCGGACATCGGGGAATACTATATACATATATAGAGCTCGGAAAGGGGAGTGACAGCGATAGGAGGAGCACTCAGTAATCGGCTTAGGGCAATAAATTGTTCATGGCCCGGCTGCAATTTCAGCTTCGCTCTCAAACTTTTACAAAATGCCCAACAAAATGCAGCGTTTTTGTCATTCTTTTCATACTTCTTTGGTTCTCCTATTATGGTTTATGTTTTTTTCTTTTCACAATTCACCACAATGATTAATCACCCGAAGGAAGGCGTTTTCCCTTCCGTCCTGTTGGTAATATAATATTTGTCATAGTTCATAATTTAGATATTTTTCGTATCCAGAGGGGTTGAACAAAGCCAGGCCAAAAAAAAAAGGAAATAATAAAATGTTCCAGTCTGGTAAAAAAACATCAACTGCATATGTTGCACACAGTTCAAGTGCAGTCGAGATGGTTTTCCCGGGGGGTGGGAAATTGGGGGTCTGAGGGTGCCGATGAGGTTGAGTTTGTTTGCGCACACTTTGTGTACAGTTGAGGGGTGACCACGGTGATATATCCTGCTATATTTGCCCAGTATCACTATCGATGTATCGAGGTTTTTTGTTTGCCCAGAGGGTTGATTCAATGCGGAACTGTCGCACTCACGGTTGTGCAGGTCAAGTTTAGTAGGTGTTTCCCGGAGCATTTGTGGTTGCATTGAACGCGGTTAACCAAAGGGGTTGTGGTGCTGCTGATTAAATCCAGGGAGGGAAGCAAATAGAGCACAGAAGGATAAGTAGTTTGGAGTTAAAAAGGAGTCAAGGCCCAAGAATAATAAATACAGACACTTGGTTGAGATTGTCACATCGTGTTATTGTTGATTAACATTGAAAACTGGGGGTGTGATTCCTCTTGAGAACATTTCTGTAAATATGTATATCTTTGTTATTACATTTTTAGTTTAAATCTTAAAATTTTTAAATTTATTGGAATCCATTCTACCCCTTCCATTATTATGCATCAAAGGTGATTTTTACACCTTGGATTAGAGAATCAGAGAAGTCATCGAGGATGCAGGCTTTGGCCACACACAAAGCCAATTTCTTGGACAAAGGTGAATTTTGCTCGGCCAGGATAATAGGTGGATAATTTATTAGCCATCGACCAGCATCGAGTATCGAATGTTAGATGACAACTGCAAAACTGCAACCAGATTGCCCAGATAGAGGATCGTGTGTGTGCATGCGGGCTCAACTCGGATGGGAGATTGCCCGAAATTATACATAGGATGCCAAAAAAACGGACAAAGGACGAGTGTTTAGGGTAAACACAAAGGCGACCATAATACAATCATAATTGCATTTTTACAACAACCAGGGGAGAGTGTGCCGGATTTTGTACACCCAACTTCGGATATTGACAGTTCACACCAAGGACATTCTTTGAGTCCTAAGCACCCAACACAAAACACACGAACCGAGGCGAAATTAAATTTTTATCTAATATAAACTCGCAGCAGGCACTCGTCCCTTTTTCGCTCTGTTGTTCAGATAGTCCCTTTATTTTTTTTTTTTTGCACAGCTATATCAGTGGCTCAAGGACATTCCAGGAAACGACAAGGCACCCATACGCTGTTAGTTTTCACACCAATTCCCGGAGGATGCACACAGACCCGGCCAATGGCCTTCGGTGGAACATTAATTTGACTTATCCCCAGGACAACTGGATAGCGGCAAGGACACGCACTCGGTTGGAAAAGTGCAATTAACGTCAAACAATAGCGACTTTTGTCAGCTTTGGACACACACGCGAGTGGGCAAGGATACACAGACCATTAGCCATCATCAGCAGGACCCAAGGCCAAGGACCTTGTGCATAATTAGCCGGCACTTCGAATGGGTTGCATGTCCTTCGGGGCAAAGTCAAGGTCCAATTACACAATGCCTTCGGGACACACAAGGCGCAGCAACCTTGAGTCATAATTGAGGTCCTGCAGGATAATGAGTGCTGC